CGATGACATTGTCACATGTGTGTTTGAGTCGAAGCTAACGTATGCACCGATAAGATTGGCAAGTGCAAGAAAGGCTTTCCGCAGCCCCTGCAAGCTACCACAACAGAGGGGGTCGATGGGTATGCCAAGTACCGTCGCGACACGGCAGCAGACCAGTACTGTGTGCCACACAACCCGTACTTGGTGCACAGCCACATCAACGTCGAGGTTTGCACAAGCATCAAGGCCGTCAAGTATCTGTACAAGTACGTGTACAAGGGCAGCGACCGGACCTGCTTGACGAGGCACGGGAATACGTTGAAGGACGCTACGTGACCTCCCTCGAAGCTATCACACGCATCCGCTGCTACGACCTGCAAAGGATGTCCCACGCTGTCGAAGCATTGACCGTGCACGAGAAAGACCAACAGCATTGCACCTACGAAGAAACCCACGACGCAGAATCGGTCGTTGCCAGTAACCAAAAGACCAAGTTGATCTCCTTCTTCCTCGCTTGCGCGCAAGGCTTGACCGGGATCAACGGCGTTCCTGCAAAGAACTGCCTGTACTTGGACTTCCCGCAGTACTTCCCATTTCGAAAACACTGCTTCTTGAAAGACGAACTCCTTCCGAAGTGTATACGTAAGTACTGTTCACCACATCCAACACAGCGGTCGTGCCGGCAAGATGGGTTGACTGTACTCTGACCAACATATCACGAGCCAATCTGCGGAGCTATTGGAGTGACCGCGAGATGGCGCCGACTGTGTTCTGACAAACATGTCACGAGATAAATAGCGATGCGATTGAACATACCCACAAGGTGGCACCGACATGCATTCTGACATACACGTCGCGTGTCAAACGGTGGCGCTATTGGATGTTCCTGAGAGGTGGAGCTAACTGCTTTCAAGTCAACACGCCACGCGTCAAAGATCACTGCGTTATTGAGTTTAGATGCACGGCTTAGTCTTAGCATAGCTACAAGGTTTCTACCGTAGCCTATACTATTTCAGTGGACCACACCGCAAAAGGACGGATTCCCATCTTCTCGCAAAATACCGGACCCCGTTGTACCGCAGATAGGAGAGTTTTGAAAACGCATACTACAATCAGAAAATGTCTGAAATCTATGCCAGGCTCAACTATGACAACAATTATAAGCAGCAACAAAAGCTACATATCTTGCTCCAACCGGCAATTAACACCGGCGGCAGAGCAACGGGCTCACCTAGTCTAAACTACTCTTCTCATTAACAGTGGGCGGAGCTATCGAGGGGTCCTACCGGATATTATCCGGAACTGATAATGTTTTGCAATTTCTTTGTAGTTGAAATTTGTATCACTATTTACTTGTATTTATAAATAATAGCAGGTTATAAATACAACAAGTTTTTTCACCTTCCATATGGCATAGTTTTTCTTTGCTTACTGAGCGACAGTTTTGAGATAGTAAATGCGGTTTTCACAGTTTATGCGTTCTGAGAGTACGATTTCAACACACTTTTCCCGGATCAATTTGGACAAGTATATCGGACGTTACAAGTCCAGGACCCCTCGATGGCTCCGCCCACTGTAAAGTAGCTTTTTAAGCTCGCGTTTGTAAGGGTCAACAAGTGTCTTTTGCTTTTAACTATGGTGAAATTTCAAATGACGTCGTTTTTAAAATGAAATCTGATTAGCTTGATGCGAACTTTTCTAATTTTGGCTCGGATTTCCAGCTTACACTTTCAAATGCCCTGCCACACTTTTGATCAGAAAACGCCAAATTTAATGATGCGTTTTCAGAATTCACGACCAAAGAGTCAATGTTATCATGTATGAAGGAAAAGGCTTACAGTCAACGAAGGAATGGTACGCCATCAAATTTCAAAAATTGACAACTGTATATTTGACCAATAATATTCAAACACAAAAATAAAGCCTTCTGATTGGCCGTATTATTATTCTCCCGCCCGCGCGATATTTTTTTGATTTGCATGATCACTCGCCTCTCATTTCGAACAACATGAACTCGACGCTTCGAAAGTCAAAGCGCTGCTACAGTGTGGCAGTCAAGCTTGATATACTTGGACGATTGGAGACTCAGACCGACAGCCAGGTTGCCAAAGCCACGGGTATATCTCGACGCACTATGCGAGGATGGAAAGATCAACGCGACGAAATCCTGGCTTACACTGGAAACAAAAAACGCATGAAAATAAGCCCCGGTGGACGTTGCGAGATATTCCCCGACCCTGATGGACTCCTCGAGTTCATTACGGAAATGCGAAACAAAGAGCGAGCCCTGACAACGACTCATATCATCAATTGGATTAAACGT